AACTGGCCCTGTCCAAAAATAAACTGCACTGCCTTGTGAGGTGGCAAGTTCCCCATCACTGGAGGCATTCAAACAAAAATAAGATGATGAACTCTCATTTATTACAGGGGATTCCAGTATCACATGATAAGTTGAACTAAATGACCTCTAAGACCCATTCCAATTCTAGGACTCCATTTTTCTTTAAAATAAAACTTAAGCAAAATTCATGAAAAATACATAATGCAAACAATATGCTCTATAAACAAGATCTGTGAAAGAATAGCAAGATAATAGTACTGTCAAAACAAGATACTATCACAGTTAAAAGCATATAAATAAGGAGTTAAGGTTAATGAGAAAGTACTGTATTCTGTAGTCGCTTCAGAAATGCAGGTTAACTTAAGATCTGTTATTTCTAGCAAACATTTCTCACATGACATCTTTTTTAAAATCATCTCTTCAAGATCCTTCCTAAAACAAAATCTTTCTAAAAGAATTTTTGACAGCTTCCATGCTTTGAAAAATACATTAAGTCTTTGTTAACGTCTCTGGAAGCCATTAAAGTACCATGACCCAACTCAATGCCTAGGACAACTACCCTACCCCAACATTCTTTTCAATATTTTCTCTCACATCCAACCAATACAGTCCTTCCCTTTTAATGTCTTTATGTCTAGTGAACTTTTTTAAAGTGTTTGTGCATACATGTATATAGAGGGATAAAGTTTCCATACCTCTCTACAAACCTTTATGTACAACACATATAGGTATTTGCAGCTCCATTCATGTTGGCAACAATTTAGTTGTGATGCTTCTGGTTGAACAGTTAATCTACTATAGCCATACCTGGCCTAATTACTATGCAAAGAAATAATGGTGAATGAATAATATATGAATAGTTTTAAAGGATCATCAGTTATGCTAAAGTAGCCTCTCACTTGAGTACATTGCAGAAAACTAAAATATTTTCAGCCAAAATGACATCTCACTTTTTTAAGCCATCAACTTTAAATATAATATATACACCCATATATTAATATATATAATTGACAAGCTCTCTGTATATATGTATATATGTGTGTATACATATGTGTATAAGTGTATGTATGTGTGTATATATACAGATATACATATATACACACACACACACACACATACAAACTCTTAATAAAGGAAGATCATTGGTCTTAGAGTCAAGAGCCCTGGGTTCCAGTTTTACGACCTTAAGTCCCTTAACTTCTCTGTGCCTCAATTTCCTTATCTGTAAAATGGGAATAATACTTGTACTACCTACTTCATTAGGGTGTTGTGAGGAAAGGGCTTTACAAAAATTAAAGCACTGAAAAAATAAGCTGTCAATATTACAGGCTGTTTCAGATGCACATACAAGAGTTCAGGACATTGGCTTACTTTGTTATGTGCTGAGCCATTTAATAATTTATGAATAACTTTAGAACATTAGGTCCCATTAATGAGGTTTCAGATATAGCTAGCTTTCACTGGGTGTGACTGGGATGACATTGTATATACATGGTGCTATTTAATGCCAACAATGATTTTTCAGGAACTAGAAAATAGCAAGAACCAATACTCACAGTGCAAATCGGAGTAAAGAAAACTCTCATTAAAAATATAATGCCATTTTATGGCCACAGTTACTATATATTAAAGGCCATAAACAGGCAATAAGTGGAAAAAATCAAGAGAAATAGTTTAATTATTTGAGTGAATAAAAATGTAGCTAAATTTGGCTTTACTTGATTGTATAACCTCATGTTCAAAGTCCACAATGCAGTAAAGTTTATGATCTTGAATCAACTTTAGCTTGACACAAGATTTGTGTAATACTAAAAATCACAAGGTACAAAATGAAGGAAAAAGGCAGTTAGTTATGCAGATGAACCCACATAAATGGCTATATACTTGGATGGTGTCAGTTATCCTGACTCTTCATAGATTTGACTTGTAAGTATCAAGAAACCTATCTGTTGTCAGTTATTAGTAGCAAACTCCTTTTTTAAAACAACATAAAAGAACCTAATCTGGAGATAAATATAGGGGTCTAGATTTTGTCCCATACAAATACAAATGGTACGCAAAACTATCAGTAAGACTGATCCAAATAGTAGATGTAAGGAAATAAACTGCTCCCACAGGGTGAAAAGTTTATCTTTTGGAAGAGAACTAACTTTTGACAACTTATTTTAAATCATTGCCAAATGATGCACATTTATTTTCATTCACTGGGAATGATTTTCTCCCTGGTAAGATAAGGTTATTTTATGAATATGATATAGCATATGCATATATATATATATGTATGTATGTATTTTAAAGTGTTTTTAAAATACAGTTGCTCCTCATTCCCTTAAGGTAGGTCATGATTATGTCTTATTAGCAGATGATAAAATATGCACCTATTAGGGAAGAATTTGTTGCTTTTTTTTCAACATTACACTACAGTAATTGTGGGTTCTAAAGATCCCTGAAGGGTACTACATACTTAGAATGCCTAATGTAATTATTTTCCATGAAAAACATCCATTTTTATTTCATTGAAATGACTTTCAAATGATCCCCCAATTGCCTAAACTAGATAACATAATGGAAAAGGAGCGAGGGGGAATTACTGGAGGGGACGAAAGGTTTTGACAAAGAATCAACTTACTAGAAAGTCAAAATTTTTACATTTGATTTCTTCATTTAATTAACTGAGATTTAAAAAGAAAACTTCAAACATCAGTATTGGTATAGGATTTTAGCCCATTATACCATCTTTTTTTTTTTAAGAATACACGCTTATTGCCCAGTTTTATTTAATTTTTTAAAGACCAAATAGAAATTATATGCTTACATTTTTTCTCAGAAAAACATTTAAGAATTAATCTATTTCTTCCCAGAATAGCATGCCCTTATATGCTCATATCTTTCTAATACTGCTAAATTTATTAGAGTTTTTTTGTATTTATTATTTATAGAAAATATGAAAACAGTTACTTGGGAAAACATATCTTTGATAAGTTTTTGTGATATGTGTCAACTAATTTAATTTCAACTAATTATTGAAGCTGGACATAATAAGCCTTATCTTCGTCCCTCCCTCAACATTCATCAAATCAGTTACTAGAGTTTTGTGGATTCTTCGATTCTTCCCCCCCAAAACATTGCTCTCACTTGTCTCCTACTCTATTTCTATCCACATCCCCATAAAATAGATCCCTCCATTACCATCCTAAAGTACTATTGCAAAGGGCTCCTAGGAGGTCTTCCTGCCTTCATCCTTCCTCCATCCTCCAATTCATCCTTTATATTAATAGAAGAATAATCTTTTCAACACATAGAGCTGATCTTCCTCAGAGGCTTCCTATTGTCTACTGATAAAGTTGAAATTCCTTTGCCTGACATTCAAGATCCTCCACAGTCTGGCATCCCCTGACTTTTCCAACCATCTCTTCAACCTCAGAGTTCACACAGCACTTTCTTTTGAAACTATTTAAAATATGGATCCATGTAATACTACGTATTATGGTTATCTGTGTTTGTTTCTCATCCTAAGCTTCATAAGGGCAGGGATAGTGTCTTACCTGGTTTTTATATCTCCTTTCATGCCTATAATGCTTTACACATACAATAGGTATTTAACAAATATTCCTTGGGGGGATGAATGAATGAATGATTTACTAATCAACCAATTAAAGGCACTTACAACCATAAGATGCAATAGTTATAACAGTTGTATCCAAGAAGTAAAATTTCATCCATTGCCTATGTCTAATTAATGAAAATACTCATATAAGAAAAATGCATTATTTTATTAGCACAGTAGCATTATTCCTTAGTCATTCAAAAGACAAATGGCAATATATTTTTTCCAAATATCTACCAAAATAAATGCAATTTTGAGGCCAATTGAACTCTACAATTTCTGATTATTTCACATTTGGTTACTAACAAAAGTTAAGGTGAGAGGTTAATCAGAAATAGGTTTCATTAATGTTCTAGCATTTCCCCAAAAATTTTTCTCGTAATAGTTTGATATTTTGAAGATTTAAAGTGGCAAATATTACTCATAACTAGAATAGGAAATTTGTTTTCCTTTTTTTTTTACTTGAAACTTTAATTGACCCATTTGTGAAAATAAACTGAGACACAAAGCAATTAGGGCCAATACCTAATAGAAATAATAGTATAATAGAAAGTCACTGGATTTGTTTTCTAGTCCTGACTGTCACTAACTAGTCATACAGTCTTTAGGCAAGCCACTTTTCTACTCTTTGCCATAATTTCCTCACCTGAAATGTGAAGGAGTTGGATCAACTAATCTCTAAGGTCCCATCTAGCTGTCAAATTTTATTTTTTCCAGTGGGAACTATATAGCAAACCTAATGAAACTGGGCAGTGGGGAAAATATTTTTATATACCTTCTTTGTCTTTTCCCTTGATTTTCTGAGAATCTGTATTTTGTGGGGAACTTTGTTTCTAACGTGCAGATAACTGAGAACCTGAAACAAGAGGTAGGAGAAGGATTGATAAGGGCTAGCAGAATAAAAATTCTACAAGATGAATAAAATTTCTATAGACCCAATGATGTTGAAAATCATGTAGATGGCTGAATTAGATAATTTTATTTCCTTCCTTAATTCCAAATCCTCCTAGCTTTTATACTAGGTACCATTTAGCCTACAAGACTTTAATATGTGAAAGGGCCATAAGGACGAGGCCTATTGATATGATGTGATATGATATGGTATGGTATGACACTTATAACACTCTGATAAGTAAGTCTCCTATTTGCAAAATAAACATCTTGGCTTGGTATATCAGAAAGATAACAGAGGTTTTGGCTGGAGAGAGAGAAAGGAAATGTAAGCATCTAGCAAGAATACTTGATTTTTAATGACATCTTGAAATTACAAATCTAAAAATGAATTGCAACTCATACTTTCTAAAGTTTATTATCCTAAGGAATATTACATACATTTTCCATTAAAATTCACAAAATATTCTGTGCCTTTTTAAATAAGACTTTTAAAAATATTCTGTCATCTAACAATCTTACAACTAAAATTCTAGTCAGGGCACATTAAAATTTATCCAGATATGATTATTACCCTATTACAAAGGAGAAAGTAAGAGTTAGTTTTCTTCCAAGAAAAGCTCCACCCAAATTTTTTACATTTAACTCTTTCAGATGGCTTTAAAAAAAAAACACCAGCTGAGGAAATAGATATTAATGTGATTATTCTTTCCATTTTTCATTATAATTTTGAAATTCTATAGGTAGAATTCAACCATATTGCCACATTATGTATAACAACCACAAACAACAGTGTTTAGAATTCAAGTATCACATAAAACCCTTAATTTTTCTTATAATCCACATTTTAAGCATCTATGCCACAGCAGCATACTCCTTGTTTTGTTCATTGCTATCATTTTCCTGTGGACTAGTGATTTTTACTTCAGGCCTTGGTGGTCTTTGAGCATCTGATTCATCCTAGTGAAAAACAAAATTATTTAACCCTTTAGGTTGCACAGATAATAAACAAGGATACATAGGCAGGGAACTTAAAGCATTCATCACTCCATTTAAACAAATCTTTATACAAAATTTTAATTTGAAAAAATTCCCATGAGCCATATTTTCATCGGCTTTTTTATTCTCTCATTTGCATATGTGACACGCCAGGGTTTGAAGGCAATGTGTTCTCTTCTTCAGCTTTCCTTTTCCTGACCACAACCTACCCAGCTCCTCTTTTGTATTTATCAGCCTCAGTTTTCCTGATTTTTTCTTCTGCCCTTTAAAATTCTCTCTTTCAATGAGATTTCTGAACTTCACACATTTCTAGGGAAAGGGGAGGGGAAAGTATGCTGCAGTCCCATTCTCAAGACAGCTCAGCCCTGCCCCAACACCACCCAATGCCCGATTCCCTTCCATTTTTGTCCATTAAGAATATAAGTATTCCTTGAAATCTGCTGCCCTACTTAATAAGAACAGAATAGAAAATCAGCACGTATTGACATAAAAACCCAACAGCACTTAATGCTTCTACTTCTTGGCACATTTATTGGTTTTTTATTATGTATAGAGGCATGTGTGTGTTCGTGTATGTTCACATGTGTGTAAATTATATCTAGATCTATGATCTAGATAGATTAGAGATAGAGCTATAAATACAGATATCTATTGGGGGTCAAGTGATTTCATCTCAGTGTGGGGAACTCTTTGTATGGAAACTTCCTCCAGTGATGTAAGCCAGCAACTGCTCTGTAATTTATAGTCTTAGGAAGTTCCTGGGGGCTAGGTGATTCATCCAATATCCCAAAGCTAGTATGAGCCAAAGACAGGTCTTGAACTTGTCTTTCAGACTCCAAGGCTGGTCCTCTACTCATTGTACTACACTGCCCTTCAGACATATATGTGCATATATAAACACATTTTTATATCTACATATATATGTCTCATATTGTATATTGCAGACCCCACTGTATTGCTAATCATCTTTAGGTATCTATAGGTCCTATTCTCCTCAACTAGACAGTAAGGTCTTAGAGGGCAGGAACAGTGTCTTACACTTCTTTGAATCCCCTCAAGTTGCTTAATACCTTACATATGTGTGTGCAGTGACTTGCATATAATGATAACTCAATAAATTGTCTACTCACTATATTTTCCCTGCTTTTTCATTTAAATGTGCTTGAGAGCCTATGTGTGTATATATAGATATAGATGGTATGTATATAGATACAGATGTGTGTGTGAATATGTATATATATACATATAGAAAAATATAAATTCAGTTCAACTTTCAAATGCCCTTGGAGCCCTACATATTCTGTAAAAGTTTAAATGATACTTATTATCAGAACTTTGGCAAAGTCAAGTCTCTTTCTAGCTAAATAAGTAATTACCCTCTTAACTTATCATCTATAGAAATTTGGCTTGTTAAGTGTTAATTGCTTCTGGCTGAATATAAATCAAATTCACCACCAAGATTCCAAATTCACCAAGAGAGCAGCCAAACAAGTTTGTAAGCTCTTTTAGGGCAGGGACGCTGTCTTCTTTTGTAGCTCCTATAACATACCCACAAACATATAAAAAAAAAGTGCAAAACTAATACCTCCTTTGGACCATCACCATCACCATCACCCTTTGCTAATGTTATCTCTTTGTCTTTCTCTTGATGACGCTCATCGTTGTTAACTTCATCCAGTTCTTCACCATTTTCTTCATTTGTGCCACCATTTACTCTAGGGGGATCAACATTCCCCTGTTCAGGACTTTCTTCAACTTCTTTTTCTTCAACATCACCATTTACTTTTGATAAATCTTCCTTCTCTTCTTCCTTCTCTTCTTCTATATCCTCATTTTCCTTCCCTCCACCTTCTTCCTCATCTATTATTTCTGCTGGCCTCTAAGGAATCAAAAGAAATGTGGTCATTTCCTGAACCAAATTTTTTAATGGAAACACACTCATATGTAAATATACAGGGTGTCTCAAAAAGTCTTAGTGAAGTTTTAAGCAATGCTTATTATATTTTTTCTGTGTAATATATAATGTTATATATTAGGAGAATTGTTATTCATGTATATAGGAATATATATATATACACACATATATATACACATCCTACTTCTTGCATAATATACTTGTGTGAATTACATATAGGGATAATGTGTATGTGTGTGCTCATGTGCATGCACTTGTAGTTTACATATATAAATGTCTATCTATATTTATATACATATATACTCAGAGGCATATATGTGTAAATATAATAACATATACACACAGAGATATGTCACATTCTTCCTCCTGATACTCAATTAGGCAGGGAATAGCTTCAGCATTTAATAGGGAAAATTCCAACAGATGTCCAAACACAAAAACCTACTTTCATGTCAATCAAAACCCAAAAGTCACCCTCTGCCATGTGAATTTTAATTCAATCCCACAAGCATTAAGCACCTACTCTGTTCAAGGCACAATGCTAGGTGCCAGCGATACTCAAAAAAAGAAAAAAGAAAAGAAAGAAGAAAATCAGTCCCTGCTCTTAAGAAGCTTATGTTTAAATTGCTCCTTTGGGGATTACAAGTGCACACATAATAAGGAATTATATCTAATAGTACCTTATCACCACTGGAAAAGGAAATGGCAAACCACTCCAGTATCTTTGCCAAGAAAACTTCATGGACAATATGGTCCACGAGGTCAATGAAGATCTAGACATGACTGAATAGTCAAACCACACCCTTATCTGTTTAATATGTCTCTACTGGACTTAAAGGTCCATGAAATCTTAGAACATATCTTAGAGCAGGGAGCTGGGAAGCACAGTGGATAGAGCTCCAGGCCTGGAGTCAGGGAGACCTGAGTTTAAATCCACAAGGCATTTGACCTCTGTTTGCCTCAATTTCTTTAACTGTAAAATAGGAATAATAACAGCAACTACCTCTCAGAGTGGTTATAAGGATGAAATCAAAAAATAACTGTAAAGCACTTAGCACCATGTCTAGCATATAGTAAACCCTATATAAATGTAAGATAAATTTTGTATCTTCCTCAGTGCCTTTTAGCATAGTGATCTGCTATTAATAAATGATTGTGAAATGGAATTCAATTATGTTTCTGTATTTTCACTCTTTTTCAGGAAGAGAGAGGAGGGGTCTACAAGAACCATCATTTCTCCTTGTTTTCGCCAAGAAAAATATTGTTTTTCTCCCATAAGGTTTCAACTTTCCTTAAGACCAAAAGGGTGAAATAAACAGAAAATCCAAAAACAGAATCCATGAGAATCGTTCTGTATTTTAGTTCAGTGGTCAGTAAATAGCAGTTCTGATCCTCTGAATACACACTTGGAAGTCATGTAGTCCAAATAAACATATCTGTGACTATATAATGACTTTTTATCAATGCCACAAGGCATTAACCACCCAAATAATAGGGAGAGGCAGTGTGGTATAGTAGAAAACCCACTGGCCCTGGAGTCAGGGGACCTGGGCTCAAATCTTGACTCTGATACTGCCTGTTGTAACCTTGAGCAAGTCACTTGATCTTTCTAGGCCTCATCTGTCTCATTTGTAAAATGCAGAGGTTGGATTGGATGATGACTAATCTTTTTGGATCCAGATGCATGATCCTATTGAATCAGAAGTCTTGGAGAAGAGTGGAACTCATGCATGAAGTACTCTGCCTATACCCCACCACCACTAAGGTGATTCCTTTGGGCCTTTGTGTTCCTTAGTCACTGACTCCATTCAGCAACCACCTCAACCATCTACCCCTCTGTCAAGGGCTTACCAATGGCCTACTTCAATTCCCTTCTTTTTCCTTTTGCTTCTTTCTGTCTGTTATCTCTACTCCTCAGGTATATGATGTCCCAACTAATCAGCTGAACTTGTTCTAATGTACAAAGGGCTACTCAGAGACCTTCCTCCAGTTCCCCGGTGCACAAATGCATTCTATCAGGGATCTCATGGAGACAATAAATAATTATCAGTTGTTTTGTCTATTGTATTGTATTTATGTGTAATAGCGAAGTAATGCAAATATTTAAACAGAACAGATGAGACTCGCATACTATACTGTAGTTTTTCAAAAAGTAGTATTATAAGAATATGCTCCCTCTAAAAAATAATTCTCCTTTCTCTTAAAAACTTGCTTATGCCTAAACTAACTCTTATAATGAACTTCAAAAACACTTCAGCTAGGTGGCACAATGAATAGAGCTCTGGCCTTGGAGTCAAGAGGATGTGAGTTCAAAGGTGACCTCAGACACATAACACTTACTAGATTACTAGTGATCCTGGGTAAGTCACTTAACCCCATTGCCCAAAAAAAAAAAAAAACCAAAACAAAGGGGGAGGAAAAAAAACGCTTCAGCTGAGGTTTCACTAAATATCTGGCAAACAACTGGAACAGTGAATGTTAGAAATGTGGATACACTAATGCATTGCTGGTAGAGCTGTGAATTGGCACAACTGTTCTGAAAAGCAATCTGGAAAAAAAGTGCCCATGCTCTTTTTTACCCAGAGATTCCATTGTTTGTCCCAATGAGGCCAATGACAAAAAAAAAAAGGACTCACATACACCAAAATATTTAAGCAACACTTTTTGTGATAGCAAAGGGCTGAAAATCAAGTAGATATCCATTGACTGAGGAATGGCTAAAAATCATATCATATCTGAATGTAATGGAACATTATATTTTCTAAGAAAAAATGAATGTCATTGTAGAAAATGTGGTTGGGAATGTTGCTTCTGCATATCACTCATCAAGGTGTGGATAAGTCCCCAAAACCCCTTGATGAGTAGCTGCTGGGGTATTGACAGCTGTAGGCTGTTGACAAGGAAACGTGGGGAGGGGAAGATGTAATTAGGGACAGAGTCTCACATGGGGAAATTAAGTGTTCCAGATAGGCTGTAAACCCTGCATTACCCAGCCAATGGGGACACAGAGGAGGGAACTGTAATTCGGGGCCTAGGAATAAAAAGCTTTGCTCTCCCTTCTGTAAGGGTGTGCCTACACAATGCACACTCTGCCTTGCTAGGCTATTAATTAAAGGTCCCCCCCCCCCCTTCTGGTGTACCAATAGCTTCTTGGAACTTTTGTTGCTAACAAATGGAGGCTTATCCAGGATCCAAACATCCTGAGTAAAGGGCGACTACCGATGAAGGATGGGAAGACATGTTCTGGTGATTTCAATAATCCCATGTATCTTCCATGGGTGTCCCAGCTCATGGACTGTTCAAGATCCTAGGACCAAGTTAATGAGTAAAGCCATTGCTGAACCAGAAACAAAAATGAAAAAAGGAAAATAAGCAAATGGCAACCAGGCAACTCTATGCAAAGACCAAGTTAAGAAAAGAGGACTACTAAGTATTGCCTTGGTGGTTGGGACCAAGGTAAGAAAAGAAGACTATTGAGTACTACTTTGGTGGGGCATCTTACTGGGGTCAGGACACTGAGTAGGTCTTGGACAAATAAGTAAGATGGGAAATAAGAATTCAAAGGTGCCAGGGAAACCAGGGGTAAATAAGGAGACCCCTGTGAACATTCCTCCAGATAGTTCCTTAGGAAGGATGTTGAAATACTGGGAAGGTATGACGGAAAGATAAGAAAAAGATCACAGCTGATACCAGTTAACTGAAGATAGCCTAAAAAGCTAACAAGAAAATTAGATTCATGCACACTTTGTCTTGTCCAGTTTCTGTGTGCGTTTGTTAAAAAAAAAAAAAAAAAAAAAGTTTCACATCTGTGGTGAAAGATTTAAAATAAAAGTCTGTGATTAGAGAGAACATTGGGAAAACTCCCACTTACACTCTCAGTGGGAGATTTTTGGTTTCCAGCACTGGTTAAGTAGGGACACCAGAATAAAGTTAAATGAGTAATGGAATCAAAAAGCAGGGGAAAATTCTGTTAGTGGAAGGTGCAGCAAGCAAGGTTACAGCTCAAGATAGGAAGAGCTGAGAAAGGGAAAAGCTAAGGGTTTGAATTCAGGTTTAATCAGATCTCAAAGCTGTTTGTGAAGGGTATGGGGGAAATACAACTCTCCTGACTTTCAAACTGTTAGGCATGAATTCCCTCCAGATTCCAACAGGTGCAATTAATTATTGGAACTATAGCCTGCCTGGGGGAAATTGACCACACCCTGTCAGCATTGATTCAAATTCCTCAGTTGTCTGAGTCAAACTCTTGGCTAACCCAAGTAATTATAAGTGATTTTAAGCTGTTTGTAAAACTTGTATGCATCAGCCTGAATCTCCCAGGAGGGTGAAACACTTAGAATAGTTTTTATCTGATAAGTCTCATAAAGGAGACTTTTTAGCTTTCTTAAGAAAGTAAGTTATTTAGAGCCAGGAATTGTCACCACATGTCTTCTTAAGGGAAAATATGAATTTGTGGAGAATGTTCCTTTTTAAAGGGGCAAAAGTATTGGATTTAAAAAAAATTTTTAAATGTTCATCATTACCAGATTTGATTTGATTTAAGTTTGTTTATAGATTCAGAGAAAGAGAAAAATGGGTTAATGTTGAGGTTAGAGTTGATTCAGGTGTGAAAGAATTCACTTAAGATGATTTTTTCTCTTAACCAATGTGAGCTCTTTTTCATGAAAGCTTCACTGGTCTCCTTAGCCAGAAAACTAAGATCCTGATATTTGGGAGAGTAATGCTTATATAGAAGTTTCAAAAGCATGATGTAGTTTTAGAAGTTTTTAAGGAGGTTAAAGATTAGACAAGTCAAGGAAGGATTTTAACAGAGTAAGCTGGGATTTCAAAGTACTGGAAAAGCAACATTAATAATCTCTTAACCCTCAGGGCACTGTTTCTTCAGCCTAGGTTTGTTGCATCCTTAGACTGGGCTTAATGGGTGCTTTCTGAGAGACGGAATCAGTCAGCAGCTCAATGAGAGC